AAAAAAAAAAAAGAAAAATAAAAAATATATTCGTTTTACATGTATATATAGACACACACTCACACGATCGAATCATCTTTTCATGATTAAAACCAGCATTAAAATGCTGCAAAAGAACACTCCGCTGCTGAAATTAGTTTTATCAAGTGAAAATTCATAATTGCTGACAAATTTTGGAGAATAGTAGCACTAACTTACAGATACAAAAAGCAATGGGTCACTTAAAATAGCTGTGAATCACTGATGCTCTTCAATACCTGCTATTGTTATCAGCCGCTTTACTGCCCATTTCAGGGTGATGCTCTTCAAGCAGATGGTCCAAATCAAAGGTGGTAATATGAGATGGTAACTGCAACAATTAATTCAACTTATCAGTTTATATATCAAAATAGTTTTTCCAGTTATGGAAGCAAAAGCATATTCTTGCATCCAAATAGATTATGACATGAAAGAAAGCAACTTGGTCTGCAATTATTAATAAGACCTCGTCTTACAGGGGACCACATTTATCTCTATTCTCTCATAACCCTTATCTACGTATTACCAAGAACAAGGAACGTCTAAGACCTCCTTTTGTTAGTGTGCCCATCAATTTTATCACACAAGTTCAACCAAGAGAAGTATCCTTGAAGAACAAATCTTTTGAAGAAGTATAAGTTGGCTGTTGCAAATGATACTCTTTCACCCTATAGGAGAAAAGCACATAATGGTATATATGTTATTTCAATTTTAAAATTTTAAATTATAATATTATAAGCAAAACGACACTGGGAAACGAGCACGGCATAAAAATAAAGAAAAAAAAAAATTCTAAACTATGAAAAAAATAGGCTGAATTGGTGTGGTTTGGGAAAACAAAAAGAAAAGAAAAAAGAAACAAAGTTAGCCTGGGCTCATTCTGTAACCTTAATCTATTGTAAAATAAAGTACATCCTGTAGGTTGGGGAAGGACTGGCTTAAGCTGCCCAGCCCAGTCCCCCCTTAACTCTGTCCATGCCCCTACCCAAAGGACGTTAAACCTGCCATGTCTAGCTGGTGAATTTCACATGTTTTTAGGATAGGTTAACAATGCAGCAAGCCCAAAATAAATAAATCCGGACACTCACAATATCCTTTATCAGATCAGAATATTAAGTAGTAAAGAAAGAAATCTATTTAAGATCTAAACCCGTCAAATGATAATGATAGGCAAAACTTCCTAGATGGACATTAATCAATTAGGAGTGATGTAACCTACGTCAAGTATTTGATTCCTCAAATGCTCATTCTCATTTGTCAGTTGGGTAACCTGTTCCTGCAAGTCATCATTCTGTTGCCTTAAAAGATTGTTTGCCGCAGTCAACCGCCTGTTTTCTAACATGATATCGTCACTTTCTTTCTTCTGCTTCTCACGACTTCTGGAAAATATGAAAAACAACTATTCTCTAGTTTAATGCTATTTTTAATGATTTCCCTCAACTGAAATGGATTCATTTTACCTGTAATTGGTTCAACTATTCTATTACCTTCACGCTTTCTACTTTCTATTAGGATGATGATATGCCTTAGGAAAAGAAGACTGTCAACGAAGGATGACACAACTTATGGGGCTATGGTTGATAGAGTGAATGGTGATGGCCAGCCACTGGTAGGGGAAAAGTGATGATGCAAACACAGAAGCATAATATAATGAAGATAAATTGCAATAATAATCATATAAAACTATATAATTTGATTTATCCTCAGATGTTCAACAAAAATTGTTATTAAATTTCAAAAGTTGAAATAATCTTGCAAAGATATTTTATAAGATATTATAGATAAATATAATTATGAATATCAACTTATTAATGGATAGGGATGTGAGGAGAGAAAAAATAAATAAAGTAAAAGAAAAGAAAAATAAAATAAAAAACATATGAGAATGAAAAAAAAAAAAAAGAAACTGACAAAATACATGATGGTGATTGTTTAAAAAAAAATTGACAAAATACATGAAGGTGTGTGTTACAATTAATCCCTACCATAAGCCATAAGGTGAGCTAAAAAACACTTCAGGTTTTATACTTTTATTTGAATGAAATGATTAGAAATGAGGGAAGGATAAAAAAATTAATAATAATTTTAAAACTCCATATAATGACGAATTTTTAAGTCACCAAAATGACTCAATAAAAATATCTCAATGTATGAACCTAAGGCTTTAAGATCCTATGTAACTTGTAACCAAGATTAGTCACTGTGGATTTAAAATCGCAACGACCAATTCTTACATACATTTGCTGCCAAAGAAAATTGGCTTTCCAAATCATACATGCATAATCATTGGCAAAATTTCATTTTTGGTCCATTATATTGGACATTTTCCAGAAATGGTCCACTAATTTGGCAGACATCAAACCTGATACAATAAATTGTAAAATTCATCATTTTTGGTCCATAAGCATACGTGGCATTTTATCGGGCGAATACGTGGACAATTTTGATTCCGCCACGTAGTCTCCCGAGTGATTAATGGACCAAAAATGATGAATTTTACAACTTATTGTATCAAGTTTGATGTCCGCCAAATTAGTGGACCATTTCTGGAAAATGACCAATATAATGGACCAAAAATGAAATTTGGCCCATAATCATTCATGTTAAATTTCACTATAACTATTCATATTGCAGGGAAGACTAATTTAAGAAGAAAACTCAGTATCCATCTACAAAAGGATGTAGGATGTTTTCACCCTTTGGCTTAGCTTAATAACCCCTCGGTCCCAAAAAAGATTGTCACATTCCTTCTAATAAAATATTTCATCTATATGACAACCAGTAATTGAGTTTTTTTATATGAAATCCGATATTATAATTATATTCAATAAAATAATAATCAATTTAGAACATTTTTTATTTGGGAAAGTACAATGATCATGTTTTCTTGAACTGTTAAATTGTCTCAACCTATTCTTTTTCGGACACAGGAAGTAGTATTTATAGTCACACTAATTCATTTCATAGAAATTGAAACACAGGTCATTTTTGGGATCTGTAGAAACTTGAGGTTGTATAAAAGTATGCGCTTATCTGGCTAAAAGATTTTAAGTTTTCCAAAATTCAAATTTGAACAAAGATCAAAATGAATCTGAACAAAAGATCTGATCGATATTCCGCTCTTTCATAGCTAGTAGCAAGGCATACATGAAGATGACTACTGTCACGCCAATGCTTTGCCAGCTTCTTCAGCCAATTAAACGTTAACGAAAGAAGTTGACTATTATAGTCAAATTGACTTTCTATGAGTAAAAAGTTTCTCAAATTATCAGTAACAATATTGCCAAAAAGTAAATCTAGTTAGCTGACAACAGTCAACCACAACATAAATGTAACTCATGATTTCCAAATTTTTTAAAACTAAGGCTGATTAAACAACATCTAAGCATCAGTCTACTCTAAATTGGGACAACCAAAATAACACCACTACATAATTTTCAAAGCTATCAAAAGCCTTCATAGACCAAAAAAATGTTACCATAAAGCTTATCTGATTATTATCGCTTTCTACTTTCTTCGTTCTTCCTTGTACAGCGGATGTGGGGGCACAAGGTAAATTAAATAAACAATCAATAAATACATTGTTAAAGAAAAATTAAATATTTTACCTTCTGTTCTGGAACCAGATTTTTAGCTGTTTGTTATCTAGGCCTCTCAGAGCAGGTTCTTCACAGATAATCTCTGCCAGCTGAAAACGATTTGGATTTGGGCACTCTGCATAAACTCTATCAAGAGCCTCAATCTGTTTCTCGGTATATCGAACATATTTCCCTACATTTCCACCTCCAATCCTCACACCCTTACCTCTTCTGCTACCCTCAGTAACGGCCATCACAATTCCCTCCACGTCCACAGCCTAAGTGTTGGAACAAAAACTCAGCAATTAGATCTAATTATAACCAACTTGTTATAAGAAATTGTGCTGACAACGAGTAAAAGGCAGTTTTTCAGTTTCAATAACCTACAATATCTGGCAACCTACCTACAGGAGCTTTTGGCCTTTTATAGCCGAAAATCACAAACTCCTTGTCACCTAATAACACTATCTGATAGCAAAACAAAACACTGATTTCTTTCCAAAAAATTGCAGTTTACAAGTATATAGGATTTGGATAATTAGGTTACCGGAGGGCTTTTATCAACATTGGGCATATGTTAGAATGCTAGAGGATTGCTAGAGTCAGAAACAAACACATTAAAAGCCTCTTTAATTTGCTGCACTGGGACAAGCATCATTTGAGCCTTGAAAATTATCACTAAAATCCACAGCTGTTTTTCTTTTCTTTCCATTTACTTTGGACCGACCAACTTTTGCCATTAAAATTACATGAATCCACACTCTCATTAAAATCTAAAAGCCTTTTACATTTGCAATTTCCACAGATTAATCAATTAGGCCATCATCACAGGATAGCAATTAGACTGAGCTAACATCCCATCATCAGAGAAAGAAGCTAGCATAATTTGAACAGACATAACGTAAACAATGTGCATAGTGCGCGATTTAGCAAAACTAAGACAACATTACAAAACGTGGATATGATTAAATTAAACTAAAATCAAAGGAAACAACATGTCTAACACGTGTAAGATAGCTTTTGTTTACTAATAGTACTATATGGGGACAATACTCAGAAAATGAACATTCACCGGTAACTGCAAAAGTAGGCCAATGCCCACATCTATGTATTCTCCCTGAATGCAAACATCTCTACAATGTACATAGATGATTAAAATAAAAAATATCATTATAATAATATAAATACTACTAAAGATAACCGACACAAATTTAACCTGATTCCATAAATGCATCGGTTGGTTTGGAACACACACAAAAATACATACTAGCCGTAACCATAAGGTAATGAGTTCATAAATGTGAAAAGACAAACATCCTAAACAAAAATATCTAGATTATCAAATTGAGTCTACACATTCATTTGCACAATAAACACATAAATTCAAGTGCAGCGGGAGAACTTGGACCAGCATCAGAATCAGAAATTGATTTCTCACGTACCTTAACACGAAGAATAAACGATAGAAGTGTACATTAACAACAAACTTTCACCATTTCAAAAGATCTGATAATCAGTGAGGTCCGTAACATGATCCCCTCAAACTGATAGAACAACAGTTCGTAAAAGCTACAAAATGGATGAAATCAAATTTAATTGTCATCTCGACATCACACTGTTCATACAAGTACTAGAAAAAGATAATCATCTGCCATTTTTTTGCACGTTTCTAGGTTATCATCAACAATGAAGAAATTAAATCGAATCATGCCACATACCTCAGATTCTACAAAAGGATACTGCAGTCAGGTGATCGAGATCTTCGTTCTTCTTCAGTACTGGTTTGATTTCCTTAAACGAGTAGCTAATCTTCGGCGGCAACTTTGGCTCAGTTGGTTTTGGGAATCGAACAGTTCTACTAATCTGTGTCCATTTCTTATTTTTTTCATATAGCGTCTCAAAAGTAGGAGCAAACCACTTGGGAAATGGAATTGCCGCCATGAAATGGACGGAATCATGAGGAAACCCATTTATATAGACCGGTGACGGTCACTGGGATGGCAGTGACGACGGGAAGGGGGAAGACGGGAAGGAGGAAGACAATCGAAACAGGATAGGGGAAGTGGGAAATAATTATTTGAATGACCCTATCGAAATATGGTCGATCACCTTTGGACGAAAAAAAAAAAAAAAATTACAATTTAATATAAATAAATGAGTTATGCAATTACTATTACTATTTTAAATTTAATATAAATAAATGAGTTATACAATTAAAACTAATTTTATAGTGACGAAAAGATATATTAAAAATATTTTTATAAAAATAAATATTATGCTACTATTAAAATTATTTTTGTAAATGGAACATTAGAAACATGAACATGGTTTATTTATTTATTTCACACAATTGAAGTATTTTTATGTGAAAAAAAACAAAAATTATGATGAGAAATCTTCATTTAGATGCGTTCATAAATTTCAATTTGTGGCAAAAAAATCAACTAGTAGAATTGCTAAATGCGTAGTATTTTTTTTTTTTTTTACTGTCATTACATAAAAAATATTGGAAGAGATTTAAATAAATCAAAATAGATATTACTTAAATTAAAAAAATAATTAATGTTCTACATAAAATTTTATGTGGATTCTAAACCGACTTGTTAAGACTAGACCATGTCCTCTACAGTTTGGCCCACAAACTCGAAGAAAAGGACGGCCCAAGGAGCATCACTGCTAAGAGAGGCTGATCTCTCGAGCTAGCAACCGACTCTTATAAATTGTCTCTCATCTTGAATCCTTCCTTTGAGGATTAACAATCTCTCTTGTATGGATGCGAAACCTTTAAAACATACTGATAAAGCGACCGTTCAACATGTCTCATCCTCAAAAGACGAGATTTGCATGGATACACGCGTCGCCACCATATGCCCCTAACTGGCATGGCGCATATATTGTATTCTTATCTTTTTTCTTCTATAAATTTGGCTACTCATGCCCCTCACAAAAACGCACCATTACCGATGAAATGTACAACACACCACACATCCAATACTCATAATAAACTCTTCCAAAAAATCAGTTTCTTTGTTGATCTCCTCAATAGGTCAACAAAATTGGTTCATTTTATTTTCTGCATATTTCTCTTTAGATTCCCTTTATTCGTGTTGATCCCTTTGTATCACTCATATTATCTTATCACAACCAAACTTTTACTTTTTTTTTACTTAAAATGACTCTTTTATTACCTTACTGTATTAAAACTTTTGCAAGTTCTTTTAAATGATCTTCACTCGATTCTTCTGTAAAAACAATTATATCATCTATATAAGCAAAACTTACTGATTCTAATCTTTTAAGATTATTATCCATAAATCGTTGATATATGTTGGGTGCTTGTGTAAGTACGAATGGCATTACATTATATTAATAGTGGTTCTAAGGTGGACAACTAAATGCTGTTAAAAGTTTAGTTTCTTCATGTAACCTTAACTGCCAATATCTTGATTTAGCATCTAATGTACTATATCATTTTGCCTTTTTGATTCGACTAAATTATAATCTTCTCTAGGTAGCTTATATGAATCTCCTATTTTAGTAGCTTCATTCATTTCTTTATAGTTTATAACCATTCTTACGTTTTCCTCTTTTTAGTTCATTATGATTTTCTACGTAGAATGCTAGTGCACTATATAGATTTGTACTAGGTTGTTTAATACCCTTTTCTATCATTTTAGTAGTTGCTTATTGAAATTCATTAACACCTCTTTGTATATGGTATTCCGTTTGGTATAGGTCAGTGTCGAGTCCAGGTCATTGTTTTCGAGCCCGGCGGTCTGACCCGACCCGAGTTTTGGCCATGTCTAGTTCTAGGTCACATTTGTGTGGTACCCAGACATGACCCGGGTTTTAGCCATGTCTCAATGCATCCGGCATATATTGGGGGCTAGTACCCAAATTGTATTGATACATTGTATTCTTCATCATGCCTCTCGTTCTGAA